CTTTCAAGTTTTCAAATTTATTTTCATGTAAAAAAGTATCCGTTATCAATAACCTTTGTAAATTCATTACTATAGTTAATAAGAGAGTTTCCCGTCCAGGTTAATGTATACTATACAAATACTAAAGTTTTGAGTCCGAACATTATTTAATCAAAAATAATAAAATTCAACTAGTTATACTATGTAAATCTATTGGGTGTATTATTGAGAGAGTTGGTTGCTTGATTTATGACAGTCATTTTTCATCGTTTATTTTATTTTTCTCACGCATGCTGTATTGTATTGTACTGTACATAATTTATGTTTGTATTTTCTCTATGCTGTTGTGCAGTTGAAGAGAATAAACTATTGAATTGAATTGGATGGTTTAATTACGTATCTTGTGCATTAAAAGCAGAAAAAAATCTAAATTTTGATCATTTGCCACAAGTAAAATAAAAGCTATATCTAAACATGAAATTGTGAAAAAATATAGTTAGTATCTATGACGTCAAATGCAAAGCGTATTTTTTTCATGAACAACAACATCCATTAAAGCAGTTTTTGTATAAAAGAAACACGAATATTATTTGCTCACCCATTAAAAATGCATTAGGCATGAAAAAAAGATGTTGGGATGTTTTCAGAGAAGCATACTCTTAGATGCATTTTGCTACAAGACATTCTCATCAAATACACCTACTTTAATTAATATCTTAAAAATATTTTATTCCATGGATCTGGTCCTAGTCTTATCCAGCATGCACGGGGAGACAAATTACACATGTTTGTGTCGCAATGAACGAGGTTTGTAACATTGGAGAGTGTAAAGATGATCGACATATATAGAAAATTGAATGATTGATTGTGTATTGTTTAACGTCCCTCTTGAGAATTTTTCACTCGTATGGAGACGTCACCGTATGCCGGTGAAGGGCTTCAAATTTTAACCTTTACTCGGCACTCAGGGCCATTGAGCACCTGCCGCAGACACTGGGCTTCGGTTTTTAAGGTCTCATCCGAAGGACCCGTAACTTTCACTTCAAAGTGGCGAGCGCATGGCGAATGAACAGTTGCTATCCATTTTTTTACCGACTTAGGTCAGTCGCGGCCGAGATACGAACTCACGACCTCCCAATCACGGAGCGAGCGCTCTACCGACTGCGCTACCGTGAACGGTCATATATAGAAGAAGGATATGGAGATAACGAACAGTATTCAATATCGAATCGGTGAAACAATACAAAATAGGAGCAGAGCAAACACGGACCTCCGAAACATCAGAGGCGAGATAAATGAAATCGTATGACTTAACTCACAGTTAAGAGTATTACCCACCTGTCGGATTAAACAGGTTCCACTGTAATAAGTTAAAAGATAAAGTACTATTTATTCTTAGTCTACTTCCAGACATCTTCATTATCAGTGTTTGCAAATAAGAAAGAAATATTTCTGATTTCAAATGACTATATATATAAATATGAGTTATTTATGGCCCTCTTAAAATCAACATTATAGAATGCTATTCATATAGGCATAATTGATTTTCATTTTGTAGAAGATTTTACATGGAAAATATTTCCAATACATTTTTTTTTAACATTTATGTGCACTCATAGGCTAAAAAGGATGTCAGAAATGAAGCTATTTTTTAGCAATCCAACCAATAGAAGACAAAAATTATTATTATTATTATTAGAATCTTCCGCTTCCTTCAAAAGGTGAAATCAAAATGATTTTTCTGCATTTTAATGCAGGTGTCATAACAGTATTACACTTTGCTTCACGTAAATTCATGGATGACGCAAAATAATCCCGGAATTTTTCCTTCCGATTCGAGCATTTTGATACGAGACTGGAGCTGATTTTTTTATGAGATGAAAAACAACATGTAAACTTCCTTTATTGACCAGATTTATTAAAATTTAGGGCGTGCTGATTTTTCTATATACACTGTCAAGAGTGGGGAGTGATTAGACCCTGGACTAGATTTTCAAGCACCTGCTCGACTTCGACCGAAACAAACTTGCGTGACGTGCTGGATGGCTATGTATTTTTTGGTACTAAAATCTTTATAAAGAATGGTTTTACAAGATCTGAAAAGGAAACGTCTCAGAAGTTTGTTTTGAATTAGTTACATCTACTCAAACTTGCGCATTTTTTGGTAAGAATATATAGCAGAAATTAATTCTGTTGCGACACTTGTATTTTTCGGGGCCTGTTTGTAAACAACGCGCGGCATTGTGGGAAATGTGAAGGTACTGAAGATCTGATATACTAAAAACCTGATTTGACCTGATTCATAATTGTCAGTAAATATTCCAAACAAATGAATTTTTGTATAGCATAATACATCATACTTAAAAAGTCTTTAAAGAAGTCATTTAAAGTACTCAATATTATCATTTAATTTAAAATAATTAAATATCAGGTCTTTAGTATATCCGGTTTTTAGTGCGTCCCATCGAAATTGGACACATGTTGACAAACTCAAACTGAAATCGAGAAATGATGTGAAGTTGAACATTTATTCACCATACAAGCCGTATGTACATGTAGACATGCACGCACATTTAATCTGCAGCTACGAAGTACTTTATCAATCCTCTGGAGCATAATTCCAAGCAGAATTATCCCATTTACATATTCTTGTGTGAATTGTTAACGAGAAAATTCCGACCGTCACATTATGATGAACACTCTTGATTCTGTTTCGGAGTCCCCAGTGATAGGGCAAACTGACCATGGTTCTGACGATTCTTGATTTGCTTGCAAGCAATAAGCTGTTGTTCCGAATGTCAATTGTCTAGGGCATTACTGTCAATGTGAAAGGTTTTTTTTAACCTTTCGGGCTTAATCAAGTGTAAATATATAACAAAAATAGATTTTAGTTCCGAGTAACTAGACGATTAATTTATTGAACGAATTTTACCATGGTTTGAACGTATCTGACCAAGGTTCGAACATGATATTAATATATACTTTTAAGTTACTTCTATACAATATTTATTTATAAAATATTTCCCTAGATTAGCCCGACTGTATTGTACTATTTTAAGAAGTATTCGGGAGACCCTAGTGCTCAGACGAAGTTTTTGAAAGTTCGGGGGGGGGGGATTACTAGCAAAACTGAGGAGTGCTTGTGTACAGGATGTGTGTGTGTGTGTTTTTGTTTAGGTTTTTAATATCTATAGCTTTATATGGCGTGTATAGTTAATAAATAAACGAAAAATACGAGATTATAATTGAAGATTAAAGTGATTGACTGATTGTATATTGTTTAACGTCCCTCTCGAGAATTGTTCACTCATATGGAGACGCCACCTCTTGCTGGTGGAGAGCTGCTAATTTTGTCCTATACTCGGCACTCAGGGCCATTGAGCAGGGAGGGATCTTTTTCGTGCCAGCACCTACTGCAACACGGGACCTAGGTTTCTACGGTCTCATCCGAAGGACCGGTCTCCACGTCCCACAGTGGGATTCGAACCCGCGACGTAAGGATTTTTACTCCTTACTTCGCGACTATAGAGCAGACGCTCTAACCACTGCGCCACGCGGGCGACATCTGCCCTTAGATCTAAATTCTAAAAAAAATTAAAAAAATACAATATATTACTCAATTTGTAATTATTTCTTTGTTTTTTTGTATTCTTAGCATTTTAAAAGGCCAAGATAAATTAACAGATCATGTTATTTACATGTATTTTCTCTATTTAAGTAATTAATAGTTATTTCTATTCAGTGATACTGTGTTGTCTTTGAACATTTTTCCCGGGGGTAAATGCCACGCACCATACAGTGAAAAATAAATAGATAGGCTCAATATTAACTCCTTTATACAATATATTTTTTTCTTCATGTCCAAAAAAAAAAAAAAAATCCCCTTGTGTGGAGAGGGTCCTTAACAACTGTTTATTCATATACTAGTCTATTCATCAGCTGAACACAAAATATAAAGATTAATTAATATTTAATTATTTAAAGTAATACTTAACAAATTGAATTATTGATTGTTTGTGTGTTTTATTCAAGTTTCATTAGTTATATAACAGGTAAATAGTGATATCGTGATCATCAAAACGCTTGAATATCACGATGCCGCTTTCAACAGTTCATTCTGTGACCTAGTAAACAATTCGACTGTTTCATGATTACGCAAAAATATAGCTATAAATAAATCTTGAAACAGTTCAACATTTCTATTTACTATGCATATAGTGGTTAAGGTAATAATATTCATTATCAAAGTCCATAAAACAATACGAAATAGTCGCAGAGCAGACTAGGACCTCCGAAACATCAGAGGTACATGTAGGATCAGATGCCATGGAGGAGTGAGTATCCCCTGCTGACCGTTCAAACACGAGATGTGCTCCTTGTCATGATCGGTAAATAACGGAAAAATCCGTTACAATTCCGTGTATTATTAATGGACTAACAATAAGTATGAAAAGAGTCAGTCGGCATTTCACTGAGTGATTAATTCTTAAATCGTTATGATAAATGATATGAGCAGTTTCATTGTTAATCTTTTTTAATGGGTTATACCAGTGTACAAGTTTTAATACAACGACATAATGATAGGAGATAATACACGGAACAGTACCACACAATACATCAGCATAAAAAATAGATAAAAACATTATTACGTAAAAAGACTTGATAATAAATTTATTAGATAATATTCCTATAACTTTATTTCAAAATAAGAATATAGGAAGAAATCCATAACAAAATAATAAAATAATAAAAACAAGCTTCACTTTATTATATAACATATATATTTGATAATAACTTTATTACTTCGTTATATAACACCGATAAATCTTTTATGATTAGAATAATTACGTCATCCCCATTCATAATATATTTAATATTTTATGTGCATTACAGTATAAGAGACGTGTCCAACACGTCACAGACATCAAAGAAAATTTCAAAATGGACTGAATGTTGTTACTTCACAAACAACTTAAAGAACAATAATATAAACCACGTCATGAACTCATCATATAAAGTTTTCAGTGAGGTTTTATCATCATGAGAGTTTCTTTTATCTCTTGAGGATCCCTAACTGCAGTATACCAGGAATTACCCCTCGAATTTTGGGACCAGGGACCGTTAAGGGAGCATCGTTTACAGGAGTTATACCACCAGCCTCCTCCTCCTCCCCATCTTACAGCACAGTTATCATCACCCCATCTGTCGTGGTCTCTGTCCATAGTGGAGAAGTACATCCCTGACAAATCTTTTGTTGAATCCCCGGTGTCTATCATACTGTCGCCTACAGTTATCAATTAAATTTTTTACATGGTCATTTCATCAAATCACATCATTCTTATTTCAAACAACTAATATCACATTTATCAAGAAATAAATAACAAGTACATAAACTTCAATGGGGATTGATGTGGGTCGGTCACGTTATCAAATCCTGTGTGTCTAACAAAGCATCACCTGTAAAGGGAATCACAAAGATAATTGATTGATATACCTTCTATCTAATTACAGGAGTACGCATACCTATTAATTTTACCGACATTTTCAGTAACTTGTAAAATACATAATACCTATAATAATAAAAAAGGAGTGCAACGCACTTTATGTAACCGGGGAACCCCTCGCTTAATATCGAGGCCACCGCACAATCAACTGTCAATCGAAAATCATAAAAGACAAATCAATATTTTCGGACGGGACCACTGTTTTACCTCTTGATGCATATGCTTTTAAAGCATGTTTTACAGCAGCAGTGGTGATGTTTTTCTACGACTTCGCTCAAATATATTCGCTGTTCCCGACGCCATTACGTGACGTCTCGGGCGGTCCATTCACTCAAAAGGAACAAAACTGTCTGAAGTGAGCAAAAAAAATGCTATTCTAGATGATAGAGAACATATGCGAAAAGAAACCAGAGACAAGTCAGTAGATATTTAATAAAATTTAAAACGGGGAGGGGACGGGATTGCATATATGGGGTTGTGGATAAAGAGCGAGAGGCAAGGGGGAACATACTAGAGTAATACTGCATATACTGACTTACTGTATGATGCATTTTACTGATTAAAAAAAGATTTTTTTTTCTCTTTTTTAATCAATCATAGAAAAACACATTCTGAATTGATTTTCATTATTATATCTCCTTATGGTACATAACATGTGCCTTGGACACTCTTTTATTCCCATAGCGATAGAATAATGCATATAAAGTGTGAGGGTCTTTTACTCTAGTACATTAATATACCTGCACTTTCTGAAGAAAGTTCGGTATATTGTTGTTACTCATGTCACATTTTACTTCCCTGAACTCCTCCTACATTTTTCACATTAGCTTAAAAAACCTTTGTGAGATGGTTGGTAGTGTCATGTAGATGTTCAGTAAGGTTTCGGAATTCTGATTTTGAACCGTGGGGTGAAGTAGTGGTAGAAAAATGACGATTTTTATGCAAAAAGCCCCATCTTCCTTGAAACCCCCTTCATTTTACTCAGTAGCCTAATCCTCTTTTGAGAGATTGTTTATGGTGTCATGTAGATGTGCTGTAAGGTTTAGAAATTTTGTTTTTGCCCCCCCCCCCCCCTCCTGGGAGGGGGGTGAAATGGGGGTCGAAAAATGACGATTGCTATGCAAAAACTCCCGCCTTCCCTGATCTCCTCCTACACTTTCCTCAGTAGCCTAATCCTCTTTAAGAAGATGGTTGCTGGTGTTATGCAGATGTTCAGTAAGATTTCGGGATTTTTATTTTGCCGCGTGGGTCAAATTGGGGTTGGAAAATGACGTTTTTATGCAAAAGCCACGTCTTCTCTGAAATCCCCCTTTATCTTACTCAGTAGCCTAATCCTCTTTTGGGAGATGCTTTGTGGTGTCATGTAGATGTGCAGTAAGGTTTCGGAATTTTGATTTTGTCCGCGGGGGGGGGGGGGGTTATATGGGGGTAGAAAATGACGTTTTTTATGCAAAAAGCCCCGTCTTCTATGAACTCCTCCTTCTTTTTTCTCAGTAGCATAATCCTCTTTTGGGAGATGGTTGGTGGTGTCATGTAGATGTACAGTAAGGTTTCGGAATTTTGATTTTTTCCCGGGGGATCAAATTGGGGTCGACAAATGACGTTTTTTTTTTATACAAAAACCCCTGTCCTCCCTGAACTCCTTCCACGTTTTTCTCAGTGGCCTAATCCTCTTTTTTGGAGATGGTTGGTGGTGTCTTGTAGATTTGCAGTAAGGTTTCGGAATCAAAAAATCATGGCATACTGGGAAACCTCTTGTATTCTAACGAGTAATGTACATGTCAAATGTGAAAGTCATATCTCCTCTTATTCAAAAGTTATAAGCAACTGCAATAGTATTGAAAAATAGGTCAAGCTTCAAGGTCTTATCACAGCTAATAATGTACATGCATGTATAATATGAATGCCCTAACTTTTCTCTTTCAAAATGATGAATTTAAAATAATGACATTTAATGTACATGCATGTATAATATGAATGCCCTAACTTTTCTCTTTGAAAATGATGAATTTAAAACAATGTTATTTTCTTGCAGGTAGGTCAAACTTCAAGGTCGTAGATATAAAAAAAACCATGCCAATGTCACAGGTAAATACTAAAACGTTTGTTTAATATGAATGCCTTGTCTTTTCGCAATCAATAGATATGACCGTGATGACCAAGGTTAAATTTATTGTGACAGATGGACAGACTGAAATACAAATGTACATATTTCTATGTGAATTGGTTAAAATTGGCCCAGTGGCTCTAGTGAAGTTTAAAATGTAAAATGTTTCCAGACGACAGACGTAATGTGATAAGGAAACCAGAAAAGCTCAAAAAAGCTAAAATGTATAATTCACAAGTTACAGTACTTAAAAAGCTTTTTTCATGCAATTTTTTGATAAGCTGAAAATGTATGACATGTTTCCATTTTTGAAAAAAAAAAATTAAAATTTTAGAAAACAGTATAATTGAAAACAGTTAATCAAGGTGTTTTGAGTAGTAAAATAAAGCCAGTGAACTTTTATAGCTAATTCAAACACAGAACTTAGTCAATTTTAAGATGCACAACCATTTAACCTTTTATAATAATTTCATTTACCGCCATGTGCAGTAAATGCCAGTTATCGAAGAAGAATAGCCTAAGCGCAATAACTCCCCTGTCCTCAACCAAATTTCCAAAATAGCCCAAAGTCATAAATGCGCTTACACACACATCCTCTCCGCTCGACGATTTTGATCAAGCCATCGCTGGCAACTTCTGTTTACCCTCCAGGGTTGTCAGCACCATATGGCTCCGTTTCTGCAAACCGTAGGCGCCAAATGCCAGATTGAGGATCGGCGCTTACTCATTGACACTTGCAATAATACTTGAGCATTGTCCATTGTTTTGATACCATTGATTTATTATGTAATAACCTATCTTAAACAAAATAAAGCCATGACAGATACTGCCATTCTGAATTGCTTATTCTTTCGAGATAATTATTTTAAAAATATTTATATCATCATTTCTGATTCAAGGGAGAATAAGAGACACATGTACGACCAACATTCTCATGGTTTTATTTAGTGATTTCTTTGTTTGTTATGAAAACATCTCTCTCGGAAATTTTTCCCTAATATTGAGACATCAGCATTTTAAAAAATGAAGACAAAATGTGTTTGTGAATCACTGATGCCCTCGTATGGAAGCTCATGGCAAAGGTTTTCAGATGTATGTCAAACTCAAATGTCAAAGGGTTAAAATTGTTGGTATCAAGAATTTCTTGTCACAAGGAATACACATGCGAAATAATAATTTCTAATACTTCCTGTTTAAAAGTTACTTGCCAAGGGTAAAGTTTCTTCAAGTGAGTCAAACTCTAAGGTCAAGGTCACATATATTTATACTAACCTGTTAAAAGTTCATAGCATATACACATGGTAAGCATGAAAGCCCTAGCACCTACTAATCAAAGTTTAAGCCAAGATAAAAGTTTGGTATTGTTCTTGTAAAAATGGGTAAAAATCCAATTTAGGTCAAGATCTATTGATCAAGAGGTCAAAATTGGTGATGCCCAAATGAAAGGTCTTGTTACAGGGGATTAACCTATGAAATTAGGAAACCGTATCTATAGCTCATCCTACTTAAAACTTATGGGCAAGGTTAAAGTTTCTGCGGACAAACAGCCAAACAGATATCATATAAGCACATGAAACAAATTATGTATGTTGTCAAATCGAGAAAATTCTATTATTTGGAGTCACAAGATCAATATTGTAATTTCAGAGACAGGGAGTTGTTAGGGATATTTGATCCCCCCTGTGAATTTTTTTTCTCATTTATATAAGACTATTTACTGAAGCAAATAAAAATGACTTTGGATATCCTCCTCCTTAGAAAACATTGATTCCACGACCCACTATCATTGTTTTTATTTCATTTGTTTGTTTTCAGTTTTTTTTCTTTGCTTTTCAGGAAATTCTGGGCTGGAAAATTTTTTTTTTTACTTATGTGTGAACCCCTCTCCCGAAAAAAAAATTTGATCTGCACCAGTAACAGAATGTCATATCGACAACGTGAGATAACTTTACGTTGTGAAATTTTTCTACTGTGGCATGCGATTTTCTTTGACCCTTTTTGAACTTAAACCATATCATTTGCATTTCGGTTTATTTCAACCAAATTGATGCTTAATCTTGTACTTACTGTCATAGGTCCTGTAAACTTCATAAAATATAATCCAATTATAACACAAAATGAATTATTTGAATACATGCCACATTGCTGCACCATGTGCTATCCCATTCGGCATACCTTGGATGATTCCGTCGCATAAATGAAATGATTTTTTGCAAGCATGGACATTATATAGGCATTGATTTTTTTTGTTGGTTTAGCCCCCCACTTTCAATTACCCCTCCCACTTCCAATATGCTTCCAACGCCTGTGGTGTGTTTGTGTGGTGTCTGGGGGACATTAGTAAATTTTAAAAAAAATTAATTATGGGCAAAACATAAATCAAAATCTAAATTGCATCAACTTAATTCTTTTTTTTTCAGACTGGTAATGAATTAAGCATATAAAATGCACATAAGAGGCTCTGAGCCAAAGGTCACACAGTCACAGATTCTGAGGATTTTATACTCAACATGTACTGTGTAAAATAATTCTATAAAATTACTTTGATTTTTTCCTTGGAAATCCTAAAGTAAAGGATTATGTATTTAAAGGCAAACACCGTAGTGCAGGTATCACGGTCTCATAACAGTATCTAGTGTTTAAATGGATTACAAGTGTTTAATAATTTCATGCATGTATTACATGCACCTGAACTAAATTTGAGTAATCAGGTCAATAAATCAATTATGTAGATAATTATTCCTCCAAAGGCTGAATTGAAATTTAGGGCACGAATCCAGCACTTGATCAATCCCTAAGTATACTCACCGTCAATAGAAACGCAACACCCTCACTTTAGGTTGAAAATTATATAAATTAACTATGTACCAAAAAAGTTAGGACAACTTTTACTTTCAACTATTTAACGGTTGAATGAATTTCTTTCCACTACCGAAAGTTGCTCTTTAGCCCTTTTAACAGAAATCAAAATGTAACATTTTTAATGAAATTTTTATCAATATTTTGAGTTTTTAAGGTTTTGTAGCTGATAATCATAAGTACTGTACTAAAATCCTTCTTTCTTTACCGGATGTGATGCCTTTATTTCCTGAAAATGACTGATAGCCAGAAGGGGGATGTTTTATTTGTTTTATTTGATGATTGGCATAGTAAAAGATGTCCTAACTTTTTTGGTACATAGTTGTAACATGTATATAATTTTCACTCTAAAATAAGGGTATTGCGTTTCTATTGATGGTGAGTATATATATCCTTCCTCTCCCACCCCCACCTCCTGACGGCTTCTATATCAACTTAGTGAATACCTCCTCAATATATATAGGTATTAGTACATGTCCTATAAAATGGCATCTGTATCTTGCTAACTTGTCATAACAACAGCGAAATATTGACCAGGAAAGTTCACATGAACCTAGAGTGTATTTTAAATAAGTAATAATAATGTTGTATGTTTTCCAATTCTTTTTTTTTTTACTGAAGTAGTATATTTTCAAAGTGTACAACTGTGCAATGATGTTGTTTTTATCTCTTGTTTCTACTTGTTGAAGATTTCGTCTCCAAAATTGAAAATACCTCAATTTGGGTTAGGATCCTACTCTCCCACAGATATAAAAAAAAATAACAACCCTTGTCTGTCTCATGCCCCACGAAGTTAAAGAATAAAAATTCATTGCCTATATAGCATGGTGAAGTTTTATATATTTTACTTATTTTTCACAATAGACAAACAAGTAGATGTATCTGATGGTAAAATCTTTAGCTCTGGTTCACTGTGTATGATTGTTAAATCAAGACTTTTTTTAAGGGGGGGGGTAAATGGACCGCCCTGAAACGTCATGTAGTGGCGTCGAGGACAACGTTTGCATTCCTTGTGTTATTTTTATAGGTATAAGAGTTTTTCTTTACTGAAAAGTTCTGTTTAATTGATAGGTACGCAAACTACCGTGATCTAATTGTAAGGTACTTCTAAGATAGACGGTTTTAGTTGCTGGAAAAAGCGATAATTTTTATCTAGGCGGTCTTAGAATCCTCGGTGTCTATCATACTGGTGCCTGCAGAATAAGAGATGATAAATAACAGCGATAATTATTATTTACTATAATTTACATCATATTAATCTTAATACTGAAGTACGTCTGAGATACGCTGTTTAACATGGTATTTCCTGTAAGAGGGATAGTTATTATTTTCTCTATAATATTGCGAATTATATTATGACTTATATATTTTAATAGCAATTCACATAAAAATTAATTAAAAATCTTATTTCATTTAAAAGATATTAAAATTTCAAAATTTTGCGGGTTTGATTGACACATCCCTGCACTTTCACAAATTCATTTTATTCTTAATCCTTAGGAAAAGTGACAATCTTGTTGTGTATAAAGGAAAAATATTAATACTATAATCCAGAAAATTCAGAGTGGACATGTTCGAAAGCAAAACAAACACGCAATATATTATCAGTCTGTACAGTTGTGGTAAGCAGACTGTGTTAACTGAACGCACCCGGTGAATTATAAACATCAACAATAACAGAACTGTTTACAAAAACTGTGTACATAACAAGAGTGTGCTCGATTTGCTAGACCCTGTACGCAACTCGTTGTTCGGAATGACGATACTTGTGAAGGAGTTTTGCTTTCTAACATTTCTACTCTGAATAAAATTATTTTTCTAGATAAAAGTTTTTATATTTTTCATTAATACACAACAAGATTGCTACTTTTTCTAAGGATTAGGAATGATTGATTGATTGATTGTATGTTGTTTAACGTCTCTCTCGAGAAGTTTTCACTAATACGGAAACGCCACCACTTGCCGGTGGAGGGCTACAAATTTTGTCCTATGCTCGGCACTCAGGGCCTTTGAGCAGTGAGGGATCTTTTTGGTGCCAGCACCTACTGCGACACGGGGCCTCGGTTTATACGGTCTCATCCGAAGGACCGGTCTCCACGTCCCACAGTGGGATTCGAACCCACCCCATAAGGATTGACTCCTTACTCCGCGACTATAGAGCAGACGCTCTAACCACTGCGCCACGCGGGCGACGATTACAAATAAAGTTAAAATTTGTGAAAGTGTAAGGATGTGTCAATCAGACCCGCCAAAAAATTTGAAGTTTCACTAACTTAAAAATGGAATAATATTTTTAGTTAATTTTTGTGTGAAATGTTATTAAAATATATAAGTCGTAATATTATAGAGAACATATTGACCTCAAATCTGTGTTCAAGTACCTTTAAAAAAACAAGACATCAAAACAATGAGCAATTCATATGGCATCCTTTGTTCTGTAACAATAAACTGCAGGCTTGTTACACTTATAGCATACTTTCTAGTATAACACCTAACCCCAGGCGTAATACACCTTTAAATTATGATAATGTTTTTTTTTTTTATTTTATTATTATTATTTTATTTTTTATTTTATTTATTTATTTTTTTTGGGGGGGGGGGGGGGGGCTGGGGTTGGAGGTAAACGCCACTGAAAATATATGAAAACATTATTAAATGTAAACAAATAAAAGCTGTTATAGACCATATATTTAAAGTGTTTAAAATGCAATGCGCAGTAAATCATTCAAAATTATAACGAGATAAGATATGATGTATCTGTAAATGTTTTGGAATATTAGATTTTCATTAAATAAAGCATTGGTATTGTAAATGTGAAACGTATTGAGGTAATTTGAATTTGGCTTTTCAAACTTTAAACTAAACAAGTTTAATTAGCGTGGAATCAAGAACGTACACAGAATACAAGATGAAAACGCATCTTTATCTTTTTTCAATAATTTTATAACCTGTCAATACAGAAAAGTGGACAGTAAAACTCGGTTATAACGAAGTCCATGGGACCTATGAAATTACTTTGCTCTATCCCTTATTCGTTATATCCGTATAAGAAATTCCTTTAAATTATATAGCTTGGGATCCAAGATTACTTAGCTATATCTGAAAATTCACAATATTCGTGTTCGTACTAACAGAGTTTTACTGTGATTATGACGATAACGTAATTTGAACCTAATTGTAAGAACTTGAATACACTTACCTAAAGTTCCCGTGGCAGGTCCTGCAAGAAAGAGTTGGTATTTTCCAGCTTCGTTAGAGACAGAGAAATCGTACGTTTCATAAAGCGTTGTACCATTCTGGAGAGTGATGGAAACATACAGGGATGAGGTGTTTTCTTTTGTTAATTGATGGATTACATCATTTCCTGTATTAAGATATATTTGACATCAGCTGAAAAACCCTTTGCAATACAATTAATTCTATTATAAGTATGAATATACCGTAATGAACTCTCAAATTACTGTCCTTAGCTATAGACAGTAATGAAAAAAAAATTGTCTCTTAAAAATATGCCGCTTAACGATTTTCTTCTCTTCTCTTTTCTCTTTTTTGATATATCAATCTAACATGATATGTAAATATCGTAGAACACATATTACCTTATCTAAAATTCTGATCTTTATTACGCTTTAGTCTGTTACCTGAGACGTATTTTTTCGACCTTTGCAGGAATAAAATTTCTTATTTGAAAGCGATTTACACTTACCAATCCAGACATCCTCTTCCGGTGAACCAAATCCGTTTTTATATTCCGTCCAGGTCCTGTTAAAGTCTAGGGATCCAGTAATTCTCTTTTGGATTGCCTTTAAAATTAACTCGTATAGCAAACCATTGTTAAAACTGTTGTGTGATCAATTTGTATGATATAAACTAAAATTATTCATATTTCATATCAATCTATATACTGTCAAACAACAAAAACATTGAGTGTGAAATAAATTCTATAATGTGTCTTAATATTAAATGAACAACAAACCGTCCATCCACCGCCCATTGTGGTCATATCGCAGTACGCCTGGACAGGACTGGTGATGGTTCCATAGGGATATATTTCAAAGATTCCTGAATTAAAGTATCCATCTGATTGAAGATCCTTACAGTCTATTGGAATGACTTAAGCAGAAAAAAAACTTACAATCCATAGAAATAACTAATAGAAAATAATCAAACTTTGTATATACAATATACAGAAATAAGTAATAGTAATCATACTGGAATCATGCCATGTACATAAAAGAAGATACAATATTTACATTCCGTGTATTTTTCCTTATGAAAATCATTAGAATTCCATGACATTCAAATTTCTATAACACAAGCGAAGCCTTGTCACCGCGCGTTAGAATACACAAAAGGAACTACATGCATTTTCCATAATCTAGTAACAACGAAATGTACAATGTTTTGACTCAATTTAATTTAAAACTATAACCCTATTAAACTAATGTAAAAATACTACAAATGTGCGTTTAAAAATACTTTGTCACTTTTTGCCTCTCAATGTTTGTTTGCGTTATTTAACTTTGCAATGTCATCTGACGTCACAAGCGGCTCTTACGTCTATTAACCACGTCAGTTTTGAAGGGCGCTAAAATCACATTAAAGATTAACGAAATAAGAAATTATGAAGATGGAAAATTAGAGAATGTAAATATAAGCATTGAATTCATATTTTTGGCTGTCTTCAGTCCTATAACACACCTGGTCGTGCCGACAAATTTATCATACCGCGCTAACGCGCGGTATTCAATTTGTCAGCACGGCCAGGTGTGTTTTAGGACCGAAGACAGCCAAAAATATGAATTCAATGCTTTATTATAGCTCTCTAAAAGGATTAAGGTTATCTGTTAATTAAAACTAAGTTAGTCAACTACAATGTAGATTTTGTTAAGAATGCTCTTATAACAGAAATTGATTGATTGATTGTATATTGTTTAACGTCCCTCTTGAGAATTTTTCACTCATATGGAGAAGTCACCAATGCCGGTGAAGGGCTTCAAATTTAGACCTATACTCGGCACTCAGGGCGATTGAGCAGTGAGGGTTCTTTGTCGTGCCAACGCCTACCGTGACACGGGACCTACGTTTTTAAGGTCATATCCGAAAGACCCGTGACTTTCACTTCTAGTGCCGAGCGCTTGGCGAAGGAACAGTCACTACCTTTGTTTACGTCTTAGGTATGACGCGGCGCCGCGATCGAGAATCGAAACCGGGCCTCCCGATCACGAAGCGGACAACAGAAATTGAAGTGAATAGAAAAAATAAGAAAAGACTATTAATTAAAATTAATTAATCATTTAATCGACGAAAAAATCATATTATTAATCTAATTTGTGGCAAATGAAATAAAGAAAAATTACAGTTTTACATACAGTCATGTGAGTAGTATCTCCAGCCATCCTCATTTGACATCCCCGACGGGAAAATCATCTTATGGGTACGGCATTTCTTCATCTCGGGATTAAACCCATAGAAGCTACAATCTTTTTGACAACGTGCTGCACATTCTATAACTGATGTAGAGTTGTGCTCTCCTAAAAGGTCTTCATTCGATTTCTTATCATCCATGTTCATTTTTGCGACGTATTTCCTCGAAATAATGGTAGACTGGCAAACGTAAAAAAAAAATCCAAAACTAAAAAAAAATGCACAAAGGGCGCCCATGTCGTAATTTGTGGTTAAAGCAAGTGGCTACGTTGTGGGGTATCTTTAGAAATTTGCAATGTCGAATACCAAACGCCAGATATAAAAATCAATATATACATGAGCTATCAAACATGATTGGCTAAGGTTACGTACACCGTATGTTTCATTCATCGAAATATTGATTTGTTGAATCTTATGTAAATTACCACAAATGTTGATTTTGCATTCCAAATATTCAAATGAAAATGTACTTGGGAATGTTCGCGTTAGAACCAAATATTGCACTTGCCTATAAAATATGACGTCATTGTAAGCTATTGGATGTGAACTAAAGATATAAAAGAATTTTTTTAAATTTATATTTAAAGATAAATTTACGCACGTATGTACGCACGTACGTACGTACGTACGTACGCGCAATAAGCGTAATGTTTTTAGCATGTTCATGCTGAGAAAATGTAGCAAGTGTTTGTCGAGACTTCCTTACAATCATTCAAGTGTACCAAATCAGCTAGATTCTGTAAATTCTATCCTAAATCGAAAATTCGCGGGATTCATTGGGCGGCGGGATTTGTTGGCTTTGGAATAATACAGGTACTTTCAATCATTAAGACTACCGCCGGAAGGCTTGAATGATAATCCTTGAGAAAGATAAATGCTCTGGTGAACTCAATGCACAAGAAAATCATGGGTGTTAATGATGCGCACGGGAGATGATGAGAATTTTTATTTTAATTTTGGGGGGTATCGACATATCTATTTCAACAACTCAAGAATTATCAGTCAAAATCACACAAGATTTCGGTTACTTTTTGTTTAAAGTTGAATTAAAATGTTTGATAACAATACTGGAAAAACATTTTGGACATAATAGTTTTAATATTAGTAAAAATTTTATTATGCGTTTCTTTTTCCTTTCAGCATATATTGTGTGCATCTAAACAGGGACATATAATTGTCTATGCATCTGGAGACCATGGCTGTAGAAATACGTAGTTTATTAGCTCACCTGAGCCGAAGGCTCAAGTGAGCTTTTCTGATCAAAATTTGTCCGTTGTCTGTCGTCGTTGTTGTCGTCGTTGTTGTCGTCGTAAACTTTTCACATTTTCATCTTCTTCTCAAGAATCACTGCGCCAATTTCAACCAAACTTGGTACAAAGTATCCTTGGGTGAAGGGATTCAAGTTTGTTCAAATGAAGGGCCAGGCACTTTTCCAAGGGGAGATAATTATGAATTAGAGAAAAATTAATGGCATTTTTAAAAAATCTTCTTCTCAAGAACCACTGGGCCAGGAAAGATGAAACTCACGTGGAATCATCCTCAGGTAGTGTAAATTCAAGTTTGTTCAAATCATGCCCCCCAGGGATAGGATGGGGCCAAAATGGCCGATCAAAATTTTACATTGGAATATATAGAAAAAATCTTTAAAAATCTTCTTCTCAATAACCACTGGGCAAGGAAAGATGAAACTCATGTGGGATCATCCTCAGGTAGTGTAGATTCACGTTTGTTCAAATCATGACCCCCAGGGGTAGGGTGGGGCCAAAATGGCCGATCAAAGTTTTACATAGGAATGTATAGGAAAATTCCTTAAAAATCTTCTTCTCAATAACCACTGGGCCAGGAAAGATGAAACTCATGTGGGATTATTCTCAGGTAGTGTAGATTCAAGTTTGTTCAAATCATGACCCCCGGGGGTAGGGTGGGGCCAAAATGGCCGATCAATGTTTTACATAGAAATATATAGGAAAATTCTCTAAAAATCTTCTTCTCAATAACCACTGGGCAAGGAAAGATGAAACTCATTTGGGATCATCCTCAGGTAGTGTAGATTCAAGTTTGTTCAAATCGTGACCCCCGGGGGTAGGGTGGGGCCAAAATGGCCGATCAAAGTTTTACATAGGAATATATAGGAAAATTCCTTAAAAATCTTCTTCTCAAGAACCACTGGGCCAGGAAAGATGAAACTCATGTGGAATCATCCTCAGGTAGTGTAGATTCAAGTTTGTTCAAATCATGACCCCCGGGGGAAGGGTGGGGCCAAAATGGCCGATCAAAGTTTTACATAGGAACATATAGGGAAACCTTTTAAAACCTTCTTTTCAAGTACTTCAAAGCCAGGCTTCGTTATATTTATAGGGAATCATCCTCAGGTAGTGTAGATTCAAGTTTGTTCAAATCACGACCCCCTGGGGGAGGTGTAAAATTCAAGCGCCCCCCCCCCCCCTCAGTTTACTTTCAGTTCTGATATGAACTGTGTTTTTTCCTAGCCAATTGCTCAGGTGAGCGATGTGGCCCCTGGGCCTCTTGTTATTATTGGACTAGCCCATTTATGGAATAAACCAACCGGGGGATCGGGAAACAAATTAGATCTCTTTTTTTATGTTTCATGTCCATTTACCGATGCATGTATATTAAACGATATGCTGTTTAAAAGAATGAGCTAAACATTCATTTGAAGATAGAATTTCTGAAATAGGTTATAGGGATAAACTCTTAATTCCATGGAAGTTAAAACACCCAGTCTTACAATAGAACAATCCAAGGAAAAGGCGCGAAGAAAGAAGTGACATTTGGCATGAAAAAAGCGATTAGCCCCTTTCGTAGAATATAAATGGACTGATCCAGTATTATAGAAATGCAGAAAAAAAAAGATACACGGACATGTTCAAACGGTGAATCACATGGAAAATCGTTCCATGCAACATGATTTAGGGAAACACTACAGTTTTTTGCATCAGTAATATCACTCTTTTTTTCCTGAAAACCGTTTCTTTTAAATTACAGGTAAAGAATTACTACGTAAATAATCTTGTACAAAATCTAGCTCTTAAGGTATAATCTATAAGTTTCGGATTTTGCGAATATCAGTCCTTATATAGAATGACGCCGTGACGTCAGGCAATGAGAATTTTTGCTGCAGTTTTTTGAGCAACAATTCATTGCATATGCAGTTTTTAGGTCATTTGAGTAAACTCAGGTGACCTATTTCTACCTGTTTTTGTCCGTCGTCGTCCGTCGAGCGTCGTGCGGTGTGCATCGTGCGTTAACATTTAAACATGTTCAACTTCGTCTCTAAAACCACTGAACCCATTTCAACCAAATTTGGCATATAGCATATGTGGGTGAAGTGGAACAAAAATTGTGAATTTCATGATCCCTGCCCCCCTGGGGCCTGAGGGATGGGGCAAAAACCACTAAAATTAGTTCAATCTTTTAAAATCTTTTCCTTCACTTCCAGACATCAAGCAGTCAAACTGTTGGTATGGTTGTAAACAGCATGGAGTCCTTTACCAAAATTGTGAAATTCATGTCCCCAGGGTTAGGGGTTCTGGTATTAGGGAGGGGCTCTATTGATAATTTAGTGAAAATGCATTAATTCTTTGAAAATCTTCTTCTCTGCTCCTAGGTATTTAAAACACTAATTTATTTCATTGTTTTGATGAGCAATAGTGCCTCTACCAAAATTGTGAATTTTATGGCCCCAGGGTCAGGGGTTCTGGTGTTAGGGCGGGGCTCTATTGATTATATAGTGAAAATGCATTATTTCTTTGAAAATCTTCTACTCTTTTCCTGAGTATAAAATAAACTAAGTAAATAGTTATGATGAGCAATAGTGCCTCTACCAAAAATTTTAAGTTCATGGTCCAAGGGTCAGGGGTTCTGGTGTTAGGGCGGGGCTCTATTGATTATACAGTGAAAATGCATTAAATCTTTGAAAATCTTCTACTCTGCTCCTAGGTATTAAATAAACCAACAAAGTAAATAATTATGATAAGCAAGAATGCCTCTACCACAATTGTGTAACTCATGGCTCCAGGGTCAGGGGTTCTGGTGTTAGGGCGGGGTTTATTGATTAAATAGTGAAAATGCATTATTTCTTTGAAATCTTCTTCTCTTCTCCTGGGTATTAAATAAACTAATTAAGTTCATAGTTAAGATGAGGGAGAGTGCCTCTACCAAAATTGTGAATTTTATGGCCCCAGGGTCAGGGGTTAAGGTGTTAGTATGTGGCTCTATAATGATTATGTGGTGAAAATATATTACATCTATGAAACTCTTTTTCTCTACTCCTGGGTAATAAGAAGATGAACTATTTACATAGTTATGATGGGCTCCTCTTCACGGAATGTGAATTTAAAGGCCCCAGTGTCAGGGATACCAAAATGGGGAGGATCGGGGGGGGGGGGGGGGGCTCTACTTATATACTGAAAATAAATTGTTTTAAATCTGCTCCTTGGTATTAATCAAAGATTTGTGATAAGCAAGTGTGCCTTTTCAAAAATTGTGCAATGTGTAGACCTAGGGTCAGGAGTTAATGTGTGGTTAAGGAGCACTCCTGATTATTGCTCAATATTACTGATTAGTTGACATGCTTTTTGTTCCCCTACCCTGCTTATTGGTATTAAGTAAACAAACAAAACAATTGCTAAGTGTATAGTTATGATAAACAATGTTGCCTCTTTCAAAATTGTGGATGCCATAGCATCTAGCTTAAAACTTGAACCAAATTTAATCTTTTGAATGTTGTTGCATGATGCTCAGGTGACCTATAAGGCCCATGGGCCTCTTGTTTTCAGCAACAATCTATTTGGTTAGGCATGCCGTGTTCTGGTATTCATTTTTTTTTCCTAATGCTATCTCAACTTCCTGTTAATATGTGCCTCTGTCCGTTTTATACATGCCATTTTTTGTCGTAGTTTTCTCATCAACTACTCATAGCAGATGCTTGAAATTTGTGCACATCAGAGCTGAGGTATTACAAGTGAACATTAGCCTATAGTTTTCTTATTGACTCATGAGATAACTTTATTCCTTACACTTATTATTAAGGAAATCACATTGGCACTCAACAGACAATGTTCAATTGTGTTTCGATTCATTCTTCAAGACTTCAAGAGTACTGTACAACTATATATTCAAGAAGTGGTGTAAATCAGATGTGGATACTTAAAAATTCTAAAGAACTT